GACCCACCTCCGCCCACTAGGCTTCACTTCCCAGCATCAGATCCAGCTGTAAAGCCATCAGTGGACTAATCCAGTGTCACCATGATCCAGTCACCTCCCAAAAGTGCCACCTATGAGCACATAAGGCTTTAGGAGGACATCTAGGTATAGATCATAACGTACCACTATGGAGAATGGCTCAGGAGGTCAGTGGACACAACACATACACATCTTTGCCCCTGCTGCAGTGCTGTCTGAGCTGAGTGAAGACTCCACAGGGTGCCTTAGGAAGCTTGCGGGACTTTTCTGTTCTCTTGGCTTCTTTTTGTGTAAGTGCTTGCTCAGCAAGTTCAAGTGACCAAAGTCAGTGCATCCTTAGCATGAGGGTCCACAATTCATTTCCCCAGGGCCACTTCTTTCCAGCAGCTTAAGTTTAGGTTGATTTCAAACCTGTTCTCTGGTCTTTCCTGCTACCTAAGTTTTGGTACCTTTGACCTTTCAAGTCAGAATTCTGCTCTTTTGTCTTCTATGGAGACTAGGTTCTGCTATATAGTAAAGGCTACCTTGCACTCACTATGTAGCCCAAGCTGGCCTTCAACTCAGCGATCTTTCTGCCCCAGCCTCCCGCATACTGGGATTACGGGCATGTGTCACCAAGCCAGGCTGGTCTTTTTGTTTTTAAAAAAGGAAATCTGGGGCCGGGGATTTAGCTCAGTGGTTTCGCCACATGCTGTGCAAGCACAAGGACCCAAGTTCCATCCCCAGTACCAAAAAAAAAAAAAAAGGAAATCTGTCCCTAGGCATGGTGACACACTCTATAATCCCAGCACTCTGGAGGTTTGAGGCAGGCAGGAGGATCCTCCTGAGTTGGAGGCTTCACTACTATGTAGAGGAAACCCTGTCTCAAAACAAAAACCCCTCAAAAAATATGGAAAAAAGGGAAAATCTTAACATCTTAGATAGTAACACAGCATATATCTCTTACTATTAACTCAGCAACCATCTTAATTTTCTAGTGAGAGGATACTACATAAAATCAATGTTTCAACTTTTTTCTTTTAACCAGTCCCTGTGCCTTCAACTGTGAAATCACACAATGAAAGTTTTGTCTTTTCTCTAACATGTAGGTATGTGTCTTATTTTAATCAGTCTTGCCTGCCTGCCTGTTTATCTGTCTATCTATTTATTTATGTATTTATTTTGCCATGCTGGGGATGAACTCAGAGCTTCTCATGGTAAGCAAGTGCTCTACTGCTGAGCTACATTCCCAGCACCCTATTTTAATTTTTTTTATACTCAGGATGCCATTCAGCCTCTGTTGCTTCTACGAATCATAGTTATCTGAATTTGCTATGTCACAATTTGTCCATTAGATGGTCTTCATTCAGTTGGTTGGGTTTTTAAAAGAAATCTTTTCTTTCGCCACCTGCTGCGCAAGCGCAAGGACCCGACTTCGATCCCCGGTACCAAAAAAAAAAAATCTTTTCTAAAGGGATTCCTGAAAACAAAAATACATTTTGTGTTTTTTAGGGAGGTGAGGTCTGGCTATGTTGCCCAGATTGACCCTGAACTGTAGGGATTGAGCCATCTTCCTGCCTCAGCCTGAGTAGTTGGGGCTGTAGGAGCATGCCACCACGCTGACATATCTTTGCTTTTTACCAGTAAAACGTTTTAGGTACATCTTGTATCCTGTCCACTTTCAAGGAGTAGATCTCCTTTAGAGGAGATTTCTGTTAGAGGTAGATGTCAACACTGGGGAGTGTGTGGGGCTTTCTCACATGATAAAAGCTGCAAGATACCAGATGAGAAGCTCCTTGAGTCAGCAGGAAAATTACCCTTTCTTCAAAAAGTCATGAGTTTTTTTTTTTTTTTTTCTTTTTTGCTAATTCCAGTTTCTATCTTGTAAGGATCTTAGTTTTCATTTCTTTGATAGTACTGATCTAAAATAGTTCAATGTAGACCTACCAAAGATAGTGTTTATAATGTCCTGTACATGTAGAAGTTGAATCTTGACTCAAATGGCTTAGAATAGATTCTCTTGTTGACAGCCTTTCAACTCTAACTAAGGGAAAAGAAACCCAGCCCTTACCCCCAGGAAGACACCAAAGAAAATAGGCACCATATCTGGCAATTCAGATGTTCACACATACACACTCAGTGGATCATAATCAGAGATAATGGGAATCTAGATCCTTAGGGCATTGCCCCCAGCTGTATTTTAACTCATATTCCTAGTTCTGGTGTTGGTGATAATCTTACCAGTGTGTACTTCCTCTTCTTTTTTTTTGGTACCAGGGATCGAACTCCAGACCTTGCACTTTCGAGGCACGCGCTGGAACCACTGAGCTAAATCCCCGGCCCACCAGTGTGTACTTCTTATGCATTCAGAGTCTTAAGGCCTTTTAAGTGAAGCTGTTCTTGACCTCTGTTACAGTGATTTGACATTTTGATTTCTTGAGACAGGGTTTCACTATGTAGTTCAGGCTGGCCTTGAACTCACTGTGTAGCCCAGACTGGCCTCTAACTCAGCGATCCTCCTGCCTCAGCCTCCCGAGTGCTGGGACTGCAGGTGTGTACCACCACGTCCAGCTAATATTTTGACTGTTAAAAATGCCAACAGATACAGCCAAACTAACATCAAGAACCTTTTGAGACTTAAGTAATTATATCACAGAAGTTCAGGAGATTCCTTTCTTTTGTTTCATATTATGTTGTTTTCATAGTATTCACAGGTTTCACAACCACCAACTAATAAGGTGCCAGCAAAATAGTGACACCTCAGGTTTTCTATTTATATTGTAACTAGGTGGCTCTCAATACCTTTCTAAGTAGTTTTTTGCCTTTTGCTCGGTAGTTTCTTTTTCTTATGACATCGTGGCCATAGGATGTTGTAGTATGATTTGGCATCCATACATAATGCTTTACTCTTCTGATTTCGTGTTCTGAGTTGATAATGTCACTACAGAGATGTGATACTGTCTACAACATTCTGTTTCTCTTAAATTTATATTTTACCTGTTTCTTCTACTAGAGTGTAAGCTACAGAAAAGCAGGCAGTTGGACTTGGGCACTGCTGTATTAATGAATGCTTAATGTAATGCCGAGCATACATTAGCTACACTGGAAACATTTTTGTTTGATGAAAATATGATGGCATTGTTTCTGTGCCTCAGATCCCATTGGAAAAATGATTGTTTTAGACTGTTAGTTTCAGGAAACCAAATTCAACCCACCTTAAAGAATAAACTTACAGTTTTGCTTAGCAGAAAGCCCTAGATTAGGGTGGGTTTCAGGCCTAGTTGGTGGCTCAGCAGTGTGAGTTCTGCTGTCTCTAGGGTCAGCTGCCTATGAGTTGAACCCAACCCACCTGGTCATAATGTGGCTGCCAGCAGCAGGAGCAGCTTCTCTGTTCACATCCACTGGGAGAAAGGAGGATGGGCTTTCTGGATTTAATTTGTCTATAATTGTATATTTGATAACCTGAGTGTGTGAGAGCAAGATTGTGTGGGGAAGATGGACTTTTTTCATTTCCTGGTAGGGCAGACAGCGTTGACAAAATTGCAAGAAGGGTTAGAATCTTCAGAGTCTAAGAATTTGGGAATACTGGAGTTTAAGATAACTTAGGCTTGTGGAGCTCTTCTTAAAGGTGAGACTTCAGCCGCAATTTGATACGGGGAAAGTTGTGTGGAGGAGCTAATTTGCATTTTGAATTTTCCACTCCATCTTTTACTCTGATTTGCTAACTTTTCAAATCTTTAAAAAAAAAAAAAAAAAAAAAGTTGAAACAAAAGTGGCTTATAGTCTCGGTTTCCAAATGCTGTGTGAACAGAACAGAGATGTCTCTTCAGGCCAAGAGGCTTTTTAAAAATAATGTTATTTTGGTAGGCTTTGAGGGGGTAGCTCAGAGAAATGGTGGGCTTATGGCTTGCTGACATGTTCTCTGGGAAATGCTCGTAACCTGCTAACGTGTCTTCTGGGGTCTGCTTGTGATCTCCTGCTGTGACCTTTGGTGAAATGAAGCCTACATCTCTTTAAGGTGGCAGGTGGGCTTATTCAGAATGATGGAGTCCCTGTCCAGGCTGTGTCACTGTTATCTCTGCCTGATGATCTGTCACAGGCAGAGGTGGGTGCCTACCAGACTTTCCTCTGTTGTGGGCCACTTAGCCTTCCCTCTTTCTTTGTAGGAAGCATGACATTACAGTGAATGTCTTTGTACATAAATGTTGAACCTTTGCATATGTATCAGCAAGGAAATTTCCTAGTAATGGTGAAATTGTTGGGTAGAAACTTAAAATTTCGATAGATTTTTGTCAAATTTCTCCCCAGGAGATTTGCAGCATGTTTCTGGGGTGTCAGATAGGTAAAATTAGCTACATTTTAAATTTTGTCCTTTAATTGAGAGAGAAATTATCTTTTTATGAGTTTGTGTTTTTTTGTGAACCCACAAATGATTGCTCTTTGTTTATGGTATATGTGAGCTTTTTAAGTGAAGAAAATATACTCATTGCTGTCATGGGGTTGTAATGTTTTTTTCCCTTGATTTGTCATTGGTCATTTTTACTTTTTCCCCCATACAGAAGATTTATATTTTTATGAAGTTAGATTTTTCAACCTTTTTCTTGACTCCTGTTTTTTTACTGTGGCTGTCCACTTTGCTGACACCACTGTGGCGTGCCTGACACCATGTCAGCCTGGCTGGGCATGCCAAGTATAAAGCTGAGATAGGTTGGACACTAGGTCCTGCTCATGTCCTCATCAGAGCTGAACCTTAGTGTGCCAGGGCTGTTGCATGTGTGGTAGATCCAGCATGGTGGATGATAAGGCTGAAGTTTAGAGTGGAAGGAGGGGCTGGGAAGTTGGACCCCACTGAGGTTTTTCATTAATGTCAGGTAACTAGTGAGGTCCAGTGGCTTTGGGTTGTTCCTTGGCCTGTGCTAAGGGAGACAAGGATTGGGACTTGAACCAGATGAGCCCTTCTGTTCCTGGCTGTAACGTGAACCTGCCTGTTTCTTGTCTCACAGGTGAAGAGATGGCGTTTGTGAAGAGTGGATGGTTGCTGCGACAGAGTGAGTACTGGACATGTGGGTCTGCATTTAGGGTTGCCTTGGGGACATTTTTATTTCTGTTTGGTGAAACAGATCATGTTTAAAAACAAATCATAAAGTTTTACTATGTTGCTGCCTTGAATTTCCTCTTGGGAAATTTTAGAACTCTGTAAACTGTCTTTCTGTATACAGGGAACTCCTTGGTTGCTGAGTTTATAGGAACCAGGAAACAATGATAATCCTGTCTACTGTCTCTTTCCTCAGTGCATACTTTGTGATTGACTGCTGTATTGGCATTGAGGGACCCATCTCTGGGGGTGAGACATGCTCGTTTATCTGAGGATTGAGCAGTGACTCAGATGCTGAAATCCTAGAGCCTTTCTAATTACATGGAGGAAGACTTGACCTGAGGGTATGAATTTATCAAAAGCCAAATTTTATCTCCAAAAGTGGCTCCAGAGAAGAGATTTAATTCTTTACTTATGGGATTGAGATCTACTTAGATTTGTATCCATGGGCCTGTTTTTTTTGGTACCTAGGATGGAATTCAGAACCTTGCGCTTGGGAGGCAGGCAGCAAGCAGCACCACTGAGTTAAATCCCTGGCCCCATGGGCCTGCTTTTGATACACTGTATGCACTGTCTGCTCATCTCTAAGGATGCCATTACAAATGGGATTTGTTTTGTGTTTAAAAAAAAAAGACAGATTATTCTGATGACCCATAAAGAGCAGAGTTAAGGAAAAAGCCACTACTGTATTACGATTCCAGCAAAAAAAATCTGAAGCACATGCTGTGTACTGTGAGACTTGAATTTATATTTGAGGGATACCTTCACAATTTAGCTAAAGTAGAGGGCAGTGGTGAAGAATCAACTGCAAACCTTAGATGGTTTATAAATACTATTGGTCGCCAGGTGTGGTGGCACATGCTTGAAATCCCAGCACTTGGGAGGCTGAGGCAGGAGGATCACAAGTTTGAGCCCAGCCTGGGTTATTTAGTTCAGGACCAGCCTGAACTACACAGACTCTGTTTCCAAAAACAAACAACCCCCCAAACCTTTTGGTGTGAAGCTTTTGTTCTGATAATTTTATGTATACATTCTCATTTAATTCTCACAACATCTTTGTGAAGTAGGTAGTATTATTTCCAGTTTAAGAAATTGAGGTTCAGTGTAATTCAGTTAACACTATTGCTACCCAGAGATGGGTCATCTACCTGTCTGTCCCTGACCAAGTTCTGTGAATTCCTAGACCTAGTGCCGAACCATGCATCTTGTGATAGTCTATGAGTCCTGTAGTCTTAGCATAGACAGTTATTGTAATCTTGGAGTTACATGGCAAGTCCTGGCGTATTGGAGTCTAGCCCCCATCTCTGTATAAGTTTTCTTGTCTTGCTTGGGTTTTGAGGTCCTTACCTCCCTGTAGTCAATATCTTACCCTTACTCAGAACCTGAGCAGATGTCCATTTTTGCATCCTTTGGATGTCCTCTGCTTTTCTTGTAATGCTTTACTATGACCTTGTTTGAGGGTAGGCCTTCCTTCTTGCATCACAACTCAGTGTAAATGGTCTGTAAATGTAGTTGTAACCTGAATTTTCCAGTTTCTTGGTGGCCCAAGGAGATTTCACACAACCTGCCCAGCTTGAGTAGTGAGAGACCACACAGGAGCAAAGTCTTAGTTTAGAGAAAATAGAGTTTATTGCAGAATAGGAAAGATGGCCCCAAAGAGAGGGCCAAGTTGCTTGCAAGCACTTGAAATGGTTCTGCTTCTTTTGTCTTTCTTCTCCTTATTTACCCCACTTCCACCCTAGGCTATTCCAGTCCTCTTCTTTCATATATATGAATGAAGAGGGAAAGTTTGTTTGGGTCTGCTTAATTTTCCCACCCTTCCTGCCTTTAGGGTACTCCACACCTTTTCTTTCTTTTTTTTTTTTTTGGTACCAGGGATCAAACTTGGGTCCTTACACTTCTGAGGCAGGCGGCAGAACCACTGAGCTAAATCCCCAGCCCTCCACACCTTTCTTTTGCATATGTAAAACCAAAAGTTTCTTTGTTTCCAGGGTGAAAAATTGGGCTCCCCTATCAGCCTACCTAAGACAACCTCCCCCACAGCTCATATCTTTCTGCCTACAATCCCCCCTCAAGAAATAGTAGCGCCCGATTCTTCAGAGTGTTGAACAATGAAGTTACCTGGCTACTTCTGCATGAGAGGATGCACTGCAGGGTAGGAGCAAAAATCCTTGCTCTCTGTTGTGGGTGGTTGGTCCAGGGCTCCCTGGAAGTATTCTTTTGTTGGCACCAGCTGCTAGCCTTCAGTTTTCAAGGTCGTCTACAGGTTTATAGTTACTAGGTGGGAGGACACAAAATGTACAAAGAAGTTGAGCCAGAATACTAAAAAGAGAAAAAGAAGTTGAAACAAAAGTTGCACCAGGAGTAGCAGCAGCCAGGAGTGCAGATGCTACTGCACAGATTTTTGTAAGCCATGTAGCTGGTTAAGGATACTGTCGGTCCTTATTTCCATCTGACCCATTTTATTAATCCAGGAGCAACAAGAATGATTAGCTGCTGCACAAATGCCCCTGTCTCTAGCCAGCATTAGATCTAACACTGCCCAGTGGTAAGGCCAGAGAATCTAGAGAAGCAGGAGGTCTTGCAAGTTTGCCTGTTTGTTCAGCCATATTGCCCACCATAGTAGACACATTGGCCATGGTGACAGCATTATAAATTGTTCCCTTTGTCAGGGCAACCAGAGAACCCGCTAAGGCTATCACCTCTGCCACCACTAGACCCACCGCCCTCTTTTGACATTCTCCTCCTTTTTGAATAGCGGTTTGATTCTGTTGGGGTTCATAGACCACCACATCACTTTTGGGTAGTAGGACATATCCTACCAACCAAATCCCCTGCATGTGGATGTAGTCATAACAATGGGTGGCATATATCAGGGTGGAGCTGTAAGTTTGGAAAGATAACATTAGACCGTGCCCCCTTCCAGGCAAAGGAGTCTGGGGCTACAAGTCTCATGTGTGGTGGGGTTTAGGTTTAAAAATGTCAGTGTAGATACACTGCTGCCAGGAAAGAGTTTAAAGGGTTTTATGTCTGGTAAAAGCCCAGTGAGATAGGGGCTGTGACATTGGAGATCTCACTGTATCCGTTGTTGGAAGGCTTGATCATTCAGATCAAGACCGCACTCTGGTGGTAGGTGGCAAGAACAGTTACACCATCCTGTGGCATCATAACAATCAGGACTGGCTTTACCCAACCGAGACAATCGGTAGGCACCTCAGTCTCTTACAACAGGTAAACTTAGCTGTGGGACACACGGATGGTTTGATTTCCTGAGGAAAGTGAAGTAAACATTTTCACTATCAGGCATTGTGGATTTCTACTGGGAGCTGATCGGACCCCCAACCACCTGACCAAGGGTACAGTGCCAGGATAACAAAAGACAAGACAAAATCTTTACTGCATCTAAAGGGGGCCCAGAAAGGTTGAAACTCTTATCAGGCTAAGACACTGTCTCCTGGAGTTTACCACTTTTGTTTTGGTACCAGGGATTGAACTTGGACCTTGCGCTTGCGAGGCAGGCACCGGAACCACTGAGCTAAATCCGCAGCCCAAATAGTATTTTTATTTTTGTTTCGGTACAGGGGATCGAACTCGGGTCCTTGCACTTGTGAGGCAGGCAGCGCAACCACTGAGCTAAATCCCCAGGCCTTACCATTGTTTATTGAACACACAGCTTCTTGAGGGGGTAAAGGGAGGTACAGGGAACAGTTGAGTGGAGAGCACTAACATGATCAGGTTCCTAGCGACAGAGGAACAAAACATTCTAGCAGGAACAGATCATTGATTAATGGGAAATTTGTTTTTTCCTATAGATTAATTTTTGCTTCTGTAGAAGTTTTGTGTATGAATCTTGTTGCCCTTACCTGCAGTATTGTCTTGCCATCCATGATGTCACAGCCTTTCAGATCATTGAGACCTCTGCTGTGACCAGCGGTGTGAGGAGTTGTTCCTTTTCCACATACCAACTCTGGTTCTTTGGGAAGCCATTGTGGGCTAATAGGCAGATTTAGACTTTTAATATGAGAAGACAATTTATAAATTTGTAGCTTGCTCAGGGTGGTCTCTATCAAGTTTTGAGGAATGGGGAACCAAGTCCCTGCCAGATTGATTTCCCAGACCATTGTGTCTATTTGGATAATAAATGGGAGTGGAGGGGTGAAATTGGAAGCTCCACAAGCTATATTGGATTAGAGTAATTTAGAGGCATCTGTGTGGCATGTGTGTGAGCCAGGGAGGTGGCTCATATCCATCTGCCCCTAACTCCTGTTGTAGCACATACCTCCTTAGTGAAGTTGTGTCCCTGTTATATAGCATAAGCTATTTGTATCTCTGTGTTAGAGAAATTGACCGCTAACCCTGTAACCTCTCTGCTAGAGAGAGCAGGAAGAAAAAGGAAGAACAGCCCAGACTTCATTTTTGGATACCAGGGGCCAATCTATTGACAGTAAAAATAACTGAAACCCCCCACAGAGCTGGTAGGTCAGAAAGCACCATTGAAGAACCAGCATTAGGAGCCCAAGAAAGAGATTAACCTGGAACAGGAGATGAGTTAAATAAAACTCCTCTGTCTCAGCTGGGGATTTGGCTCAGTGGTGCTGCCACCTGCCTCGCAAGTGCAAGGTCCTGAGTTTGATCCCCGGTACTAAGAAACAAAACAACTCCTCTGACTTTTTTTTTTACTGGGGATCGAACTTGGAACCTTGTGCTTGTGAGGCAGGCAGCGGAACCACTGAGCTAAATCCTTGGCCCAGATATTCATATGTTTTGGTACTGGGATCGAACTCAGGACCTTGCACTTCCTCTGTCTTTTTGAAGAGCAGCATGAAGCCTTCCAGGGGTTCACAGGAGTAGGCTCTGTGATTGTTCTCTCCTTCCAGTGAGGGTTCTTTGGGACTCTACATCCTTTGTCCACGGTTTCAAGCGGGTGTGGTATATCCAGGAGTTTTGCCCAGT